ATATACTGAACACTACAGAGTTTAGGTATTTACTAGTGTATATAGCCTGAACATGACTGTATATACTGAACACCACCGAGTTTAGGTATTTACTATATATCAATCAAAGTTGATTTATCAACTGCACAACAATACAGCAGCAGCACTAGTAGTTGCAGGCAGTGAAACGTCTTTTCTACGAGCTCAGCGGGAGGGATAAAAATCACAAAATACTGCCTGAACAGGTCTGTCTAGACTGTACCCCCACACCGAAACTCACCTCTCTTTTCAGCAGGAATGAACTTTACTGGTTCCTATACTGTTCACTATAGAGCTTAGGTACAGCATTTACAGAGCCTGATCATGTCTGGGTGTAGACTATAGAGTTAAAGTCTCTATAGTCAAACGTGTCTGTTTATAGAGGGCAGAGGTGAAGTGTTTGCGTGTCGGTCTGGACCCTATAGAGTGTCCACAACTTCCTTGTCTGCAGCTTGATGGGAACACACGGCTCAGTCCTCTGTACTGTACTGTACTGTACTCTGCCCTGGAGCGCTGTCTCTCTCTCTCGCTCGGTCTCTTACAGCGACATTCGGGCCGGTGAACTAGCCCCTTACCTCCCGCTGCTGTCCCCTCCGCTGCCCGCAGCGACGCCATGGCTGTGTCCGGGGGTACGGCTCGACGCCTCCTCCGAGTGTGAGCGCCTCCCCGGTCTGCCCTGCCCGCAGCGCCGGCAGGAGAGCGCGTCCGGGGGGGCGGCGCTGGGCTGACGTCAGCCTCAGGCCGCCGCCCTGTAACTATAGCGACCCTGGGACTGTTGGATGACAGCCGCTCCTCCGCCGAGCCGGGCTGTGCAGCCGGTGGGACCGGTGGGACCGGCGTCCTCATTCATCTCAGTTTCTCCACCCTCCTCACCCTCCTGACCCCTCCGTGCCGTTACCAGTCACCGTGCACGGGCTTCACTCGTACCAGGGGCTCAGGAAAGGGAACTTTTAAGCGCTTTGAGAAGCCACCTTTAAAGGCGCTATATAAAATAACGTTTATTATTATTATTATTATTATTATTATTATAACTGCACCGGCGCAGAGGCGTTCATTTCCAGTAGCTCACCCACACAGGGAGACGCTGCAGTCCCCAGCGCGCCGTACACTCTCACCCGGTCAAGAGGCACGGGGCGCGGGTAACACCCGCTTGTCCGGACCCTGGGGGGACACTTGACCACCGGGGCAAAAATCGCAGGACACAGCATGCAAACTCCCCCACAGACTGCCCCACGTCAGAGCGGAGCCCCAGCGGCCGTGAGCCCGGCGCGTAAACGTCACCCCGCCCGGTGAGATCATGGGACAACATTAAATACACAGCACCCGCTGTTTGTCAGCCTCGGCCCAAGTCATTGACTTCCGCAGTCAAGTGTTTGGAGTGTTGGGAGAGGTGCGCGGCCGCTGAAGACTGAAGCAAAGAAGCGACTGCTTTATTTTCTGCAGTGCAGGGGCGACTCGGCGTGCCTCCTCTGTGTAAGCGCGTTCGTGTCGGGCTAAATGTGTTGTTTACAGTGTTGTACCTGCCTGTACACTTCCCATCCAGGACAATAAAGGGTGCAAAAAAGTTTCTTTTTATATTTTTTTTATTGAAACGATAACAGATAACAAATACACACAAGAGTCCGTATAACACGATCAGGGGTACAGGACAGTTACACATGACAAAAAAGTTAAATGGGGGTGAGGTTCCGCACAGCTCTCACAGTCCTGCATTGGGTGACGCGCCCTTGGGTCTGTTTTACAGACCGCTTCTTTTAATGCGCATCCTAACGAGCAAGTATCATGGTCGAAGCCACAACGAGCGATGCAGGCTTAAGTATCCCTAAGTAAGCCTTTCCGTGAAAGAAACGGAAGTGTAAGAAGAGGAGGATGAAGGGAGGAGCAGTTTCTGCCCGTGTGCTGGCAGGGTGCGCCCAGCGGGCTGCGCCAGTGATGGCCGCGGCGCGCCCCCCCGTGGCCGCCGGTGGAACTGCGCCCCTGCGGCCGGCGGCGGGAATGGCGCCAGAAATCCACGAAAAGAGCGAAAAAGCGAGCGGCCGACGCACACGAGAAGGAGGGGTCCAGTAAGTCCCTTCTGGCTTTTTCTTTAGCTTGCGAAGAGGGTTTGGATTGGGACGGGATAAACTGGCGCTTTGAGGCGATTGTATGATGACTTTTCTGTGAGAGTCTGGAGAGATTGAGCCGATCAGTGAGGTCAAAAGCAGAGGCGACTTTCTGTTTTCAGCAAGTTGCTGTTTTATATACAGTATCCCATGTCTGTATTAGTGATTTTTTTGTATTTTTATGGTTTAAAAAGTGACAAAACTCCCCCAGTTCGCGCCAATTTCCCCCCTCCTTGAGGGAACGGCGCGAGGCCCGCTGGGTACGCTTCAAAAATTAAAAATGAGCGAATAAAAACCAAAAATAAACGAACGAGTCTGTGAAATTTTAGTTTTTTTTGTAACAACGAAGGGAAGGGTCCTATGAGTCCCTCAGTCCAGAACCGACCGGCTGGGTTCGGGATATGTGTTACCCGAGTGGTGTATCGGTTCCGGTTCCGTGTTTTGGCTCTGTAGTCGATGTTTTATTCTTAAAAAAAAACTTTAAATGTGGTCCAGTGGGTCTCCAGTGTACGATGGAGGACGATGGGTTTTTTTTTTATAACGGTGTTTAAACACGTCCCTGTGTAACTTTCTACCTAAATCGTGTACTATTCTGTGTCTTTTCAAAATGCACGTTTACTGCATTGCTATAGCGATACAACTGTGAATTCAAACCTTATATATGTATATTTTAATTTAACAAGTGACTACAGTAACATCCGCACGCTTATAATGCAGACCTACACACTTAAGGCGCTAAAATACACTTAATGGACCAGAACTGCCTGGGCCGTCGATGATGTTTTGTATAGTTGTACTTGTTCGAGATGGTGCAGGTTGTCCTGAACCACACAGGTGGGGTGATATCGATCTGTTCAGAGCGGTTCGTGTCTTTTACAAGTGCCCGTGTGTAGAGAATTACCCGTTGTAACGTGCTGTGGGGCTGAAGAACTTCAATCTGCCTCAGATGTTCGGAGCTTAGCGCTTGGCCGACCTGTGACTGGAGCGGGCGTTGTGCTTTACTGTATAACGCACAGGCTTACCATTGTAAATCTCACATCTGTTTTGATCGATTTCTGCTCCGCCCTTTGCCCGGCCTCGGCGGTTCTCTCTCCTCCTCCTCCTCCTCCTCCAGCTCTGTTCGCCTCCTTCCCGTATTCGTCCTTGAAGGCGTTGAACTCCTCGGCCCGTCTCCGGGCCTCGTCCTCGTATTTCCTGTGGATCTCCTCCATCTGTCTCCGCAGCGCCTGCAGGCTCTCCTCCAGCTGCCGCCTCTCCTGCTCCCTCCTCTCCCGGTCGCCCTCCAGCTCCCGGATCCGCCCGCGCCCCAGGAGGCGCTCCTCCTCCAGCCTCCGCCGGGTCTCCTCGTACCGGGCCCGCATCTCCTCCCTCTCCCGGCCCATCTCCTCCTCCTGCTCCCTCAGCTTCCGCTCCTGCTCCCGCCGGATGGCCGCCTCCGCCCGCCGGAACATCTCGCTGGTGTAGCAGCCGCCGCCGTTGGCCGCCACCATCTGGTCGACCTTCCCCAGGAGCTCCCGGGCCTGGGCGCGGCCGCCGGTCCGGTTGTCGAAGACGTGGTACCTTCCTCCGCAGCCCCGGATGAAGTCGCGGAGGCCGGGGTCCGCCGCGCGGACGTACTCCGCGATGGCCTTGCCGCCCAGGTCGTCCCCTCGGGTGAACGTGCAGATGGTGTACCGCCCGGCCTCCTCGCCGAAGATGCCCTTGATCACCTCCAGCGTCTCCCGCTCCTCCTGGGTGAAGCGCCCCACCTGGATCACCACGAGGAACGCGTGGGGCCCCGGCGCCGACAGGGAGACGCAGCTGGCGATCTCCCTCTGGATCTCCTCGCCGGACAGCTGCGTGTCGAACAGCCCCGGGGTGTCCACCACCGCTATCGGCCTCCCCGCCACCTCTCCCGTCCCCTTCCGGCAGGTCCACGTGACCGAGGCCGGGCTGGCGTCGGATTCGAACTCCGCCCTGCCCAGGAGGGTGTTCCCTGTGGCACTCTTCCCAGCCCCGGTCTTCCCCACCAGCACGATCCGCAGGCGCTCGTCTCGCTTCCCCTGGGCCGCGCCTGACAAACAGCGGTCGTCTATTTAATGAGAAAACAATTCAAAACTTTCTGTCTAACAAACAAAACAACTGACTGTATCTTTCTATTCTCTTATCTATTCGAATCCACGTTTTCCAACAAGCTAACTTGTATGAGTGTCGGGGCTTTAATTCTGTATCATGTGGAGGACTTCTGTATCTTTTGATTTAAAGCTGTTGGCCCATGCTGTTTGTCTTGGAGCCCTCCCATCTGCACTAAATTAACACACATAGCAGGAACTCCTGCTCGATTTTATAACCTACCTTTATTATAACTGTAGGTAGGCAGTTCTTCAACGACTGGCTTTTCAATCATCGATCGGTTTTTGCCAACTTCTGCATCTCTTCTCTGGCTCTCGGAGAAGACAAAGAAGCCCATGTTGTCGGTGGCCATCCTGTCTATGAGATTCAGCAGCTCTGTGACCTGGGCGCGGTCACTCCTGCTCTTGTTGTTGAAGAGGTGACACCTGCCCCCGCACTGCTGGACCAGCAGCTGGAGGTCTCTGTTCCCCCGGACAAACTCCTCCAGGCTCTGCTGCTCCAGGTCGTCTCCCCGGGTGAACAGAACCACGGTGAACCTCAGAGCCTCCTCTCCAAACAGCTCCCGGACCCTGTCTGCCGCCCTCCTGTCCTTGTCTGAGAACGGCCCCACCTTCACCACCAGGAGGAGCGCGTGGGGGCCGGGGTCACTCAGGGAGAGGCAGCGGTCCCTGAGGAACAGAGTCTCCTCCGGGGAGAGCCGAGTGTCCAGCAGTCCAGGCATGTCCACCACAGTGATGCGCCTCCCCTTGATCTTCACCGATCCGCTCTGGCAGTGCCGCGTCGTGCCGGAGGCACTGGTGCGAGACGGGAACTCCTCTGCTCCCAGGATGGTGTTCCCTGTGGCACTCTTCCCCACTCCGGTCTGTCCCAGCAGGACGAGCCGCAGCTCCGACGGGTGACTGGGATCTGAAAGACAAGCGCTCTGTTGTTCCTCCAGAACACGTTCTACGCACCTCTAACAGACGAAGAAATCTCGTTCATCTTCACCTGGTTAAATCTAATTCAAATGGGGAGACATCTAAGAATGGTCCATAGCAGAATATTTTAGTCAATAAAAACAAAACAAAACATATTGGCAAAGAAGGGAATCACATTCTCAGAACATTTACAAGCACAATTCTCTCATCGTTCCTGTTGAGGGCTTCAAGGACAATTCAAGGACAAAACATGGAACCAAAGAAAACTTGTCAGGACAGAAATGAAGGTCTGTCCCTTTAAGGGCAAAGAAGAAAAACCAGCACTGTGGCCTTGATCAGAGCACAGGCCCGAGAGATCTGATTTCGGTAACCTGATCTGTAACCAGGGGGTGCGGACTCAGCACTGTAAGGAATCCACCCAGCACAGCTCAGGGTGTGATACTGCATGTTCACAGACTGCTGGCGCCCTGTTTGTCACTCGGAACCCCTTCCTACAGGTGTGCAGGTGGTGGGAGGAGAGGCCGGGGCTGGTGCGGTGCTCTGCAGGCGTCGGCCCCGATGCCCGCTCCTCTAGAGGAGGTTGGAGCGTGCTGACTAAAGAAAAAACAGCCCCCTTAGCTTAGCTGAGCTGTTTTCTTTTTTAACTTTCTGGCGGGAGCGAGGTATATAAGCAGGTTAACCTGATGTACAGAAAGGCATGTCTAATCTTGCCTCTCCTGGTTTCAGGAGTGGGGGAAAAATATTGTAGCCATGGGGGGAGCATTTAAAAAAAATAAACTTTATTCTACAATATCCATCAATTGCCTTTCAGAGTACAGCCGGACATCGGTGACACCGACTGGCTCCTCGCACCCGGGTTTGCCTGAATGCTCTGTCTATTCACTACTTGCCTTAATGCGCCGTGTCCGTTTTTCACTGTTCGCACCTCCCGGGATTGGGTTTCAAATTCTCAGCGCGAAACCGGGCAGAAGCCTGTCTCTGCTCAAGGGGAGGAGGAGTGTACGAGGTTGTCGTCTTGATCAATCGTCCAGGCCCTCCAAACTGGGCCCGTTCACACTCGGACTGGGACATCTCGCCCTCTGAGCAGCGTCTCTTTCAGCTGGTACAGCCCTCTGCCGGCTGTCAGAGCAGCCATTTCTGAATCCGATTCTGCTTGGAGATCGGCAGATGTCGAGCCCAGTGCAGGAACCTCCCCAGAACCTGGCGGAGCGTCCAGTCTGGCTGTAATCTCTCTGCACACCTCCTCTCTGCGATTATATTCTGTGCAGCGTCTGCTTAAACTTTAACCCGAATCCCCTGTGAGACGGGCAGGAAGAAAAACAGGAGAGCTTGTGGCTCTCACTTCCTTCCTGTACAGCGCTGTTTTCAGTTCGTAAGCACACAGAGAACTTTGAATGGAGCAGGGACTTCACACTTTTTAATGACTCATTGCTCTGCGTGCAGGGATGTTTTATTGTGTGCTAATCAGTAGTGTGTGCCAGGCTGTGCCCTGTGCAACTAGTTCTCAATCTGCACTCACGAGCTGTTCCTGTAGAATGATCTAAAGACTGATCCTTATTATTCTAGAATCGTCCTATAATTCTTCTGCATATCTGTGTTATTTGATTTCTCGCCTCGGCTCTCCTACTGTCATTCTGAAGCATCGAGCGTCATTCTGTGGCGTCAATCTCTGCCACGTCTTTCTCCTTCTCGGGACACACAGAAGAATGCGTGTGACGTGTTCTTGTTTTGTAGTGTTTATTTTGCCTGTTGCGGGAATGTTGTTAAAAGGAGTGGCACAGGTGAATTATGATCTGCGACATGGCGGCTTGTGTTCTGCCGAATTACTTTCGCTTTCGCAACATCACCCCCCAACGACCCAGCCCCCCTCTCCCCCTGCAGCTTCGTCGTTTTCAAAACGCTCCCTGCGCTTCCCTTCAGGTGCGAAAGACATGTTTAAAAATACTCACCCATTGTCGGCGGGATCCGGGCAGGGACGCTGGCAGTGGCCTCTTCGGAAGCTGAGCGGAGGGAAGTCTGCCCCAGGGCGGGTTCCTGGAATCGGCTGCCGGCCCGCACAGCGCAGACGCGCTTTCGGTTTTGCTGTGCGTGCGAGCGGCACAGCTCCAGCCCTCGTGTGCGGTGAGGGCTGGGGTGTCAGCCGACCTGCGGCGGGGTCACAGCTTCCCGATAGAACTGCGCTGTGCCTCTCGGAGACGGAAGCTTTCGCTTTCGAAGGCGCGGCATTAAAACAGTCGATTGTCTCTGGGGTCTTCAGGACTTGTACGGTCGTTATCAGATTGCAGCACTGGGTTCTGGGTGGGGCTGTGGAAAAGTAGCCCTAGCAGCACGGGTTATCAGAGCCTTGTCACGACAGGGTGGAAGAAGCAGAGGGCCGAACTGCCTCACCTCACAACACCACGCAGGTCCTCATGTGCTGTTTGGGAAGCACAGTCCACAGTGTAACTCACTTTACACCTTCAGTAGGGGCTTCAGCGAGTGGACCTGGTCAAGTGGCCCGTGACTCCTGACGACAGTGTGAGAACGAGCTCTCGGTCTCGGATTGTCGGCACCACTGAACCTCACCTGCAGCTGCCTGCAGCGCGGCTAGGTTATAATTCAGAGGCCCTTGTGCAAAGACTAACCAGCCGGATCTTGCAGAACGTCCTTTTCCATTCAGTGCTGCGAGGTCTCTCGTATAACTGGTGACACCCCTTCTTGTACATGCAGTTCTGCAGTGCAGACTTCTCCAGTTGTCCTTTTCTTTGAGAGTTTTTATACTCTGTTTGGGTTCAGTAGCCTTACAAAATAAGATCAGATAAGATCACTTTATTGGCCATATACTGCACAGTTTCTTGCATTAGGAATTCGTCTTTTCGCTTGTGTGTCTCGTGTGTCTCTCCACGAGACACACAGACAGGGAGAGAAGCTGGGGGTCAGAGCGCAGGGTCATCCATTTATACAGCACCCCTGGAGCAGTTGGGGTGAAGGGCCTTGCTCAGGGGCCCAACGGAGTAGGATTCCTCTGCCGGCCTCAGGATACGAACCGGCAACCTTCCAGCCCCAGGCGCAGATCCTGAGCCACAGGACCACCGCTCTGCCCCTCAATAACTGGGTGGCTTTACAGGGTATGTTCATGTATCCCCCTTTGCTAAAGAAAGTGTTTATCGCTGTGCTCTGGAGGGATTTAACGCCCCTCCTCCGCGTCAGACAAGGGTCTACTGTACAAAAATATTGCTCAGTAGAAAAGGGCTTGGGACATTGCAGCCTGTAACAGGGGTGGTTAAAATAAATCTGTTCCCATCACCGTGAGATCAAGGACAGGAGCGCCCCATTTCTCCCATTTCCTACACAGCTGTCCTTAGCACACGCGTGTGCGCCGAGGCTGTGCTGGGTGTAAATGGGCCAGGAACGTGTTTTGGGTTTGGCCAACCGAACTGGTTAGGAACAGCCAATTGGCATCCCCAGATTAAAAGGCCAGGGTCTTACTGTTGTGTGTTTGACAAAAATATAAGCATGGAAAGGGCGCAGGGAGCAGGAAGAAGGCCTGCATTCGTGTTTTATTTGAACAACTGCCGAACTTCGTCTGCTTAGAACCGGGACTCCTGTCTCAAGCCCAGCTGGGTGGCCGAGAGGACAGAAGGCCGTTTGGTTCTGACTGCAGTGGAAAAACAGAAGAACGTGTCAGCGTCGCAAAGGAGAGGAGCCACCAGATTCAGCCCACTGAGCCTCTTGGGTAGTCAGTTAGAAACAGATTGGTCCCAAGATCTTGTACAGCTGTGTTCTGAAAGAAACCAGGGTGTCGGCTTGTTCCACCCTCTCACCGCCCTTTGTGTAAAGGCGCGTTTCCTGAGCCGATCGGAAGGTCTCATCCAGCTCTTTCTCGAAAGAATCCGGGGTATCAACTTCTACAGCAAGGCTGAGCAACTTGTGCCACGCTCCCGCCCCTCTTTGTGTATAGACACACCCATTCATCGTCCTTGTACTTGCTGGAATGCCGTTTGTCATAGTTAAATGCATGCGATGTATGACGCAAATGTGATTTTTGTTTGCCTGGGGAGAGCCTGACGTAAAAGAGAAAGATATTTTCATGCCTTAAAACAGGTTTTTGCAGTTGGTGCTCACCTGGCAGAGTTGCTCACTCCTGTTGCTAAAATGCCAGCTGTTGCCTCAAGGGGACAACAAACGTTTTTTGCTAGAGAAGTTACAATGGGTCTGAAAAAAACCAACTCATGCCTTTTTTTCCCCAGAGATACTAGACTGGGACGCGTAGATTTGGAAACCAAAGGGTCTTAATGTCTCTAAAAACATGACAGTGTCTATGTTCACCACAAAAAAATCCCTATCGGTTTGTAAAGTATTTTTTTTCTGACATCTCTGCAGTCTTATTCTTTCTGGTTATAGGACCTGAAAAGACTCTTGACAGTTCGTCAGACTCTGACAGCTCACTGGGACCCTGTCTGGGCTGAGCAGTTACTGAAGATGGAGGAGTGAAAGGCCTCATTGGCGGCCTCTAGTGGTCAAGCCGTTGTAATTACACTCCACTGCGGGGAGTTCCACTACAGCACAGAACTACACCCCTTAATTCAGTCATCTGCCCTCCCCTCCCCTCCCCCACCAGTGTTCATGGTGTTTTGATTGCCTTTCCTCCACCTTTATTAAGGTGGACGAACAGATCAGTCCGCGTTCCCGCAGTAAGTGTATCACTGTGCATGGGCTTGCACATCTGCAAAAAAAACTTCTATCACCAACTCGTTTCTGGTTTCTGTCACACACACTGACGGCAGACACACGGAGTGCAGACAGCACTGCCCCCTCTCCCCCAGAGCCCAGTCAGGAGCTCTTAAGCCCAGCTGTAGAACTGTGTTTAAATAATTCCTGTTTCAGTGGAAGAGGTCACCTTGTGGGGAATATTCATGGAACTCCAGGATCGAAGGAAAGTATTTCCTGGATATTATTTATGTGTGATTCAAGTATTATTATTATTATTATTATTATTGTAGTTGTGCAGTGAAGAGGGTCAGTCTGTGGATCAATAATGATTGTTATATATATTCTGTATGTTTCCAGTAACTTAACGAAGTCCTCCTGAAATTCACTTCTCACGGTGCAGTTTAATACTGTCAGTCTGCTGTTTCACATTCCTGCCCAGTCCCACATAGTGGGCTAAATGTAATAGTCTACTGCAGCAATCTTAAATAACAGACAAGCAAAGGCCATCTTAGTTCTCACAAATTTTATTCATCCCAGTTCACATTTACAACATTGACAACAATTAACCAAGGAATACTAGTATGTCTTTCTTACCTGTTGGGCTGTAAGATTCGGCCGCACGTATACTGGACCCAGCCCATCCTACACGGGCCCGCTGTGGTTCTGCTGTGGGTCCGCTGGGACTCAGGCCGGGTCATCAGTGAGGGGATGATGGGACAGACCAGGAGAGCCAATCCGGTCCTCCAGGGCCGCTGTCCAGCCTGAAGGATCCAGCCTGTCTAATTAAGAACATAATAAGTTCAAAGAGGCAAATGCAGAATGGGCTCATGCAGAAGGGAAACCAGAAACGTTTGGCCGTCCAGCGATGGCACTGTAGCCCTGGTCTAGAAGGAAACTGGTCTTCGTTCTTCGGGATGAAGACGACACCTGACCTCTGACCTCTGGCCTGCAGCGGAGCTCCTTCTCTGTAAGACACTGGTACAGCAGGGCTCACTCAGCACTCAGGGCTCTGTGTGCAGGAGAGAGACTGAGCCCTGCTGAGACACCAGCAGGACTGTGGGGAAGACCACAGCAGGGCTCTGTGTGCTCTGTGTGCAGGAGAGAGACTGTGGGGAAGACCACACAGCTCCAGCTGAACAGCAGGGCTCAGTTTGCTCTGCAGGCAGTCAAGCAGAGGAAGTATTGTCAACTTCCTCTGGGAACAGGAACTGCACTGCTCTTGTAATGACACGATTGCATGAAATCATTGTATCTAAAATCAGCTGCACACACAAATACAAACACACACACAAATACATATACATATTCACACATAATATACATATATACATAAATAAATACATTAAATATAAAACTAGAACTTTCTCCAATCACAACACTAATAAGGCAATCTCAGCTTGCACGTTCAAAGTGTTTAATTTTTAATTTCCTTTCTGCACAGCAACAAAGCGAAATGTACACGATAGGCTACCTCAAACTGTCGAGCCGACACGTATTATGTGTGGAGAAAAAGCTGCTAAACAGTTCGACCTGCTGCCCCCCTCCCCCTGAAAGACACAGTCACTCGCAGAATTATCGATATGGCGGATGATGTCAAAAGTACGCTGATAGAGCGCGTTAAGATGAGCAGATGCTTTTCACTGCAATTAGATGAGTCTGTAGTCGATTTGGCCAATTTGCTCGTTTACGTTAG